ATGTAGAACAAGCAAAATGCTGTGAATACTTTGCTGAATGCACTGTAAAAAGACAATTTTACAGATAAACACATATTAATACTGAACTATAGCTGTGTAGGTTCTAAGTCATTCAGGTCATGGTAGCCTAAGGAGCTTGGAATGAAAGCAACTGAACTTCTTTAATTCAATTAAAATTCAGACCGCGGTCAAGTGAGCTGTCATTTCTGTGCTTCTACACTAGCTTTTACGGCAGCGCTTTTTATCCTTCATTCCCGATCGCAAACATAGACCTGTGCACACATACACACGTGTGCACACATTGCATTGGGACAGTATGGTTGCATCATGCATTTCTTCACCAGGGCTGATGTGTTAGTTGTCCAGTATAGGTCCTCGGAAATGTGGTCACCTTTTATGGATAGGGGAGAGGGATGAGTTTTTTTTTCTTGCAGAAGTCCATGACCACTTACTTGGTTTTCCTGGTCATTATGGTTAGGTTATTGTAGTCACACCATTCTGTCAGACGTTGGATCTCATCTCTGTAGGCGGTGTCGTCATCATCGGTGATGAGCCCCATCAGAGTGGAGTCATCTGCAAATTTGATGATGATGTTGAGGGATGTGTGAGGGTGCAGTCACTGGTGTAGATGGTGTATAGGAGTGGACACAACACACATCCTTGTGGTGAGCCAGTGCTGGTGGATGATCTCTGGTTGCCAACCTTGACTCTTTGTGATTGGTCTGTGAGAAAGTTTTTGAACCACGCACATGTACCAAGGGGGAAGTCCAAGTTTACCCGCTTGACTATAAGAATGTCTGGGATGATGGTATTAAAGGCTGAGCTGAAATCAATAATGAGCATCCTTACTGAAGTCCCAGGATTCTCCAGGTTATGCAGAGCAGAGTGGAGGGCAGTGGAAATTGCTTTCTCGGTGGACCTGTTTGCCTTATAGCAGGGGTCGGCAACCTTTCAGATGATGAGTGCCATCTAAAATGTCCTCAGAAGTCAGTGTGCTGTATGATTGCATTAGCCATAAATTTAATAATGCTCTATATTGACAGTTACACACTATATAGAACAACTTTATAGAATTGTATTTGTTCGCAGATGTTGGCAGCTATCAGCGAATAGTTATCAGCTATTTTGAAACAAAAAAAGACTCTTTTTATCCATAACAAGAACTCTGTAACAGCAAATGAACTGCACAAAAGAAAACATAAATGCTATTTATGGTCTCCTCACAACAATGATAAGAAAAATAAACTGGGCCAATATGGCATGTTTGTTAATACAGGGATAAACATGTTAATGTGATCTCTGGTCTTCCAATCAGCGACACAGGTCTATGAGTGTCCAGCATTCAGATGGCTACCTCACGACACTCTTCGT